CAATATGTAATTATATATTGTGAAATATTTATTTCTAATTACAAATAAATGACATTTTGTCTTGAAGCATGGAGATGGATAGAGGCGTGGTGTCTTGGTTCCTAAGACCATCGAAAATATGTGTTTTCTGATGGTCTTAGGCGACCCCTGTGAAAGGGTCGTTTGACCCCCAAAGGGGTCGTGACCCACAGGTTGAGAACCGCTGCTCTAGACCTTCAGAGGGAGCATGACCCAGCTGACACCTTGATTTCAGACCTCTAGCCTCCAAAACTGTGAAAGAATAAATTCCTGTTGTTTTAACCCACCCAGTTTGTGAGACTTTGTTACAATAGTCCTAATGAAGGCAGCCAAATAAATCACGGGATAGAGAAGTGGGGTGTCAAGATGGGGGTGTAGTCCACGTGCACTGTGTTAGTTCTGTACAGGTTGCTCCAGCAAGTGCAGCAGGGTACAGCTTGACATTCTGTCTCCTGGGTGAACTGTAGCTACTTTAGAAACAACTGAGGGTGGGGGTCTCTGAGTGGGGCTGGGATGATGATGTGGTTGGGGTGGGGCAGCCTGAGGCGCACTTCCCACCTGGTCTGGGGGGAGGGGTGTTTTTTTTTCCGTGTCAGACCTACCTCCCAGGGCTTCCATGAGCTGATCCTCTGAGGGCTGCGGGTGGTTCCTGAGCAGCGCGTAGATGGACATCACCATCCCAGGGGTGCAGAACCCACACTGGGTGCCGTGGCTCTTGGCGATCCTTTCCTGGAAGGACACATATATGGTCACAGGCCCTGCCTCTTGTGGCCACCTCTCACCAGGGTTTTCATCCTGCATCTCTCTTGTCAGGATGGAACCCACTCTCTGAGCAGTGCACTTCTCTTCATCAGAGATGGCCAGTGTCCCCTTTCCTACCCTGCTCCTGGAAGAGGTGGCTCAGAAGCCCTTTTCTATCATTATAATCACCTCTTAAGCTCAAATGCCCTGCTCCTTCTAATTAGGAATTAATAGCATACAGTCTCCATTCCCAGAGTGAGAATTCTCCGGAAATCAGTAATTATAAGGAAAGTCCTGTGTTTCAAAAACAATTTTCTTGAACATCTCCACATCTTTCCTATCTTAGTTCTGACCGTAGGGCCACCTCTTTGATTAACTTGGAGACGGTGTACTATTGGCCTCATGTTACTCCTTTAAATTCTTTTGTGTTGGCTCAAAAGGAGCTCTACTTTCAAAAGTCCAAGATTTTGGTCTGTGTTCGAGGTTCTTGCTATTTAAAATGTGGTCCGTGGGCCAGTAGTGTCCGTTCCCCTAGGAGTGTATAGGAAATGCAGGACCTCAGACCTCTGTTCCAAACCTGACTCAGAATCTGCATTTTACATTAGCTCCCAGCTGATTCTTAGGCACAATGAAGTTTGGAAGCCCTGCTCTAGATTTTACAATATAATATAATTCTAGGAGTTGGGTTTATTGACCTTGGTGTGAACATCCTCTCTGACCTTCTCGGAGACTCTAGTGAACTCTGTTGGATCCTTTGCGTTGGCTGACCTTCCTGGAATTGATCCTCATGTGATTAAACCCAGGCTTTTCCTGCCTGGAAGGGCTTGCAATGTTGGTGGATCTGGACCTATGGTTCTCCAAATCCCTGCGACAAGGACAGAGGGGTCGATGTGTTCCTGTCAACGCATTGTCACAGTACTCCTAAAACCAGTCTCTGTGTTCCAGCTTCAAGTCAAGCTTTGGAGAAATGATTGTCCTCATGTTCTGGTGCAGTCCCCCTCAATTCTGATTTTACACTGAAGACCTCCTTGCCACAGGGAATAATCCTGAATTTTGTCTTGCTAGTCTCAGAGACATGTATCTATTCTGTACTATAGTCCAATAGGCATTAATCGATATTTTGATAATCCTATTTATCATTCAAGTAGAAAAAGAAAAAAAATGATCATCTAATAAAGTGTGGATGGATTTCCAGCTTTCTTTTAAATCACTTAAAAGATATTAATCTTGGTCAATATGCAGCCAAAACTTTTACTTACCTGACCACAACCTAGAAGCTTCACGTAGCACAGTAAACTCAACACTGGTTAAAAAGATCAAGTTAAGAAGTGATAATATTAGCATGTACTCTTACCTGCACGGGGTGGAGCTTGGTTTTGATGCTTCCAACACCTTCCACAGTGGTGACAGCAGCTCCATATAGAGAGCAGATGGGCACCAGGCATGCGGTGATGGAGAAGTGTCTTTGCATGAACAGCACAAGGAAAATCAAAGAGAATAACAGTCCTGACTCATGGGGAACTTGGGAACAAAGAAGGGCAGCAGAACCCCCCCCACCCCAGGCTATCATTTAGCCTGGGAAATGGGGAACTGGAAGGGTAACAGGGAGAAATAATTTAGAGTCCTCTCTGCTGACTCTGTGCTATCTGTAGGAATTTGTGATTCTCAGAGGAAACATAGGCATTCTGAGATTCAGAAAAACATTCCAAGCCCAGAACAGACTCACCTGGGTCTGGATTCAATGGAATGGACTTGTGTCACCAGGAATAGGGTTGGACCTCAACGGCTATTCATTAGGACATTGACCCATAACAGGTAAAAGGCACACCTATGTCGTTAACCCATATTCATGAAATTTTTTTGTTTTTTGCTTGTTAATTTTAAACTCTCTGTATAAAGTTGCCTAACAAGTGTTGGATGGCTTGTATTCTGAGGCCATTTCTTGATTTCTTGGGCCAGTGAATTTGGGAGCAGCCTAAGTCCTGGAGTCTGGCCCTTAATTTAAGAATAGAAGCATGGCCCAGATCCCAGCTCTGCAGGATTAGCCCAACCCAGCAGTCGAAAGGGCATTAGTGCTAAGAGCCAGAAAAAGTGAGTTCAAGTCCTTGTTCTACGGCGTTGGATGACCTTGAACAAGTCACTACATATTTTTGAGCCTGTTTCCTCATCTGTAAAATGAATGTTGGCCTACAATGGGGTTTCTGAACCTGGGATGCATAGATGGGCCTTGGAGGATCCATGATCTACCTTGAAACTGTATGCAAAATGTAATTAATTTCTGTATTTTTTGAATAGAGGGCTCATCACTTTTATCAGTTTTTCAGAGGGGGTCTGAGATCCAGAGATAGTGAGATTCAGGAGACTGGGAGGTCCTTAAAGGTCTTCTTCAGCTGTGAGATGAGAATACAACCCTGGCAAAGAAACAAAGCTCTCCTCGGGCCTCTGGGCTTCTGGGCAGGATACCTTATCTTCTTGGACATGGGGTCATGCTTAGACACCATCACAGTGCAGGCACCACAGCCTCCTCTTCCGCAGGCATACTTGGTTCCTGTGAGGCGTACTGGAAGGGTGTGGTCAAGGAAAAGATGCCAAGGCGGACATGTTGCCTCCATTATAGCTGCCTCTTTAGGATGTCACCAGTGAGGGAAGTCTTCTTAGGGGGCGAGGTGCAGATCTGAGAAGTCATTTGCCTGCCTCTAGCTCTCAGTAAAAGCCATTCCATATCTTATCAGCTGTGACACTAATTGTATTAAACTCTCCCTGCCTGTTTTCTCACTTGCAAAGGTGGAAAGTAATAATTACTTTATCTTCACAGGCTTATCATAAATATTTTGTAGGATAATGGGTGTAAAAGCTCTTTGAAAAATCCTATTTTGTTATAGGTGTTCTTCTGGGTTCCAATCATGTAATTGGAAGAGAAGAACTTATTTTTAGCAGTTCAATGTATTGCTAGGTTTGCCCAGTAATTTGCATTGCATTTGAATGCAAGTGAGTGGCCTTTGCAGAAAATTCCCACCCTTATTTTCATATCTCACCTTGAGTGTTCCTCTACTTCCGCTTGATCCAGGTTTAATCACAAATCTAGGCTCAGCCTCTGCTCCCTCTCTTTAGTCACCCTTCTCCTTAATTGTGGTCCATTTCTACAAAATTTAGGGGATTTGATATATTTAATTAGACTGGCTAAGAAGATTTTGAAATCACTGACTTTTTTTTTAAGTCATAGAGCTTATTCATTTAAGTTATAACCTCAAATGCTTATCAGAGCGGTTATGGAAATAAGTGGAGTGGGCTGGGTATAACTGGAAGCTCATGCCCTACTTTGCACAGCGGATGAGGAACAGTCCCTACTCAGCTCTGAGCAAGTCTGCAGCCACGCAGGAATGACTATCTTCCCACTTTTTATGAGAAGCTGAATGAAAATCTCAATTTTTAAAAATATGAGATTTCCGGGCTGGCCGAGTGGCTCAGTTGGTTAAGAGCTTGCTCAAGAATGCGAGCTCTGAGCAACAGGGTCACCGGTTCGATTCTCACATGGGACAGTGAGCTGTGCCGGAGCTGAGCTGCTGCTGAGCTGCCAACAGGTGTCAGGATGGCTCAGCTGGTGAGAGGACGTGCTCCTAACAACAAGGTTGCCTGTTCAAGATAGTGGGCTATGCCCGCCCACAACTAAAAGACTAAACTCGTCACCTTGAGCAGAGCTGTCACCGGGGTGGCTCAGGGGATAGAGCACACGCTCCTAACAACAATGCTGCTGGTTTGGCTCCCACATGAGATGGTGGCTACGCCCACCGGCAACTAATTGGACACAGCACCTTGAGCTAAGCAGCGTGACTGGACTTGAAGCTGAGCTTGCTGTGCCCTCCATAACTAAGATTGAAGGACAACAACTTGGCTGTTTCCCTTCCCCAATTCCCCAACATTGTTCCCTTCCCCCAATTCCCAACCTTGTTCCCCTCCCCCAATTCCCCAATAAAATCTTAAAAAAAAAAAGAGATTTCCTCAAACTCATAGATACAGAGAACATTTTGATGGTTGTCAGATGGGAGGGGGTTTGTGGTGATGGGTGATAAAAGGGGACGGGATTAAGCAGTACAAATTGGCAGTTAGGAAATAGTCACGAGGATGTAAACTATAGCATAGGGAATATAGTCAATAATATTTTAATAACTATGTATGGTGTCAGATGGGTACTAGATTTATTGGGGTGATCACTTCACAAGTAATATAAATGTCTAATCACTATGTTGTATACCTGAAACAAATATAATATTGTATGTTAACTGTAATTGAAAAGTAAAAAATAGAACTGTTAAAATTTTTTTTAAAATATGAAATTTCCTAATTTTTAAACATTGACAATTAAAAACCATGTGGGCTTTTAACCAAAACTTGTCCAGGGACCGATCCCTCAATTTTTAATTTCTGCCTTTTTTAAATCTTTTTGAGAAATCTATTAGATTTGCCAATTAAAATGCTTGCTATTATAAAGATCTATATTTCAAAATATAAAATGGTGGGGGAAAATCTACTGTAAGAAAACAGATGTCGGGGGGCTGGCTGTGTGGCGCAGTGGTTAAGAGCTGGCTTGGGACGCCAGAGGGCCACGGTTTGGATCCCACATATGAGGGCCAGTGACACTGCCCTCTACAGCTAAGATGCTGAACAACAGCTCAACCTGGAGNATTTCACAGGCAAGAATCCTGCAGGTGACTACAAGGTCTTGAACGATATCATCTGGATACCTCATACTCTGTGCAAAGGTTTTGATAGGAAAGTTTCATGGTGGGTTGTATATCACATCAGAAAAATGATGATGAGTTGGAAACTGGCCAGACAAGACAAATGTATGAGGAGGTTCCAAAGTATTTGGCAAATGGAAGTTTAGTGCAGGGATTGGTTCACTGATGTTTACAAGAACACTAGGAACTCACCCTCACTTGTTTTAGACACTGTACTCAGCTCAGAAATCCTTGCAGGATAGAGGAGAATTGGGTGAAAATGCCCTTGAGATTTCATTGCAGGCCCTGAAAAGTAAATATATATTTTAGAGAGTGTTAGGAAAGAGAAAATGCCTTTTTTTGGCATTGAAAGTTTTTCATAAAAATGTTCAGATACTAATTTTAAAAACTGACAGTAATTGTGTATAGATATGAAAGCAGTGGTCAAATACTCAGCCAAGGGAATTTATCATGCATGCTATCCCAGTATATGTATTTATTTATACACTCATTACGTGCATATAAAAATAGGAATAAAATGGATGAGAGGTTCTTAGAAAATTCTTGCATGTGGGCACCAGGAGACATATATTAGAATATATGTAATAGCCCAAACTTGGAAAGCACTCCATGTCCTTCTACAACAGACTGAATGAACAAACGGGGCCATAGTCCACCATGGAATTCAGCATAGTTACATGCAACAATGTGGGTGCATCTCAGCTTAAGAATGTTGAGTGAACAAAAAAAAAAAGTCTGCAGGAGATTAATGCCATGTCAGTCTATTTATGTGACGTTCAAAACTACGCAAAACTAGATGATGTATTGCTTAGGGATTCAGATATATGTGGTAAAACAGTAAAAACAAGGAAGAGACTGACCAGCACCATGTTCAGGCTAATGAGTGCCTCTGCGAGGAAGGGAAGGATAAGGGATGTGGTTTGGGAGGGGCCGCTGGGCCTTCAAAGTTCTTGGTAAAGTTCTTGTTCTTAAACTGGGCATGGATGATAACTGGGTGTGCATTGTTAATGTACCCATACATATTGTATAAAATTCTATTATAGCTACTCGCTATTTAACAAAAANACCCCAATGACTTCTTTCTTTACCCAAAGATAAAGAAAATATTGAAAGGAAGACATTTTGATGACATTCAGGACATCAAGGGTAATACGACGACAGCTCTGATGACCATTCCAGAAAAAGAGTTCCAAAATTGCTTTGAAGGGTGGACTAGTGCTGACATTGGTGTATAGCTTCCAAAGGGGAGTATTTTGAAGGTGACTGTAGTGATATTCAGCAGTGAGGTATGTAGCACTTTTTCTAGGATGAGTTTATGAACTTAATTGTCAGACCTCATATGTTTCCATTTATCTGCATCTTCTTTAATTTTTTTCTTCAAGTGTCTTATAGTTTTTTGAGTACAGGTCTTTTCCCTCCTTGGTTAAATTTATTCCTAGGTATTTTACTTATTTTTTGATGCATTTATAAATGGAATTGTTTTTAAAATTTCTCTTTCTGACAGTTCATTATTGATGTATAAATATGCAACTGATTTCTGAATATTAATTTTGATTTTTGTTATTTTTAAAAAGACTTTTATTGGGGAATTGGGGAATGGGAACAGTGCTGGGGAATTGGGGGAAGAGGAACAGACAAGTTGCTGTGGTTTTGTTCTTCAGTCTAGTTGTGGAGGATGTTGCTTCACTGGCCCAAGTTAGCACCATTATTGCACTCTTCCTGGGCGAGGCAGATCAGTCGCCAGCTTCTGGATGGCTGCTCACGGCGGCTGCTGGCCACACACGGTAGCCCATGGCAACCCACTGCAGCTTCACTGCAGCCTATGCCATCGCCGGCGACTCACGGCAGCCCAGCTCCAGGTTGAGCTGCTGTTCAGCATCTTAGCTGTGGAGGGCAGTGTCACTGGCCCTCATATGTGGGATCCGAACCAGGGCCCTCTGGAGTTCCAAGCCAGTTCTTAACCAATGTGCCACTCGGCTGGCCCCTGAATATTAATTTTGTATCCTGCTACTTTGCTAAATTTATTTATCAGTTCTAATAGTTTTTTGGTGGAACCTTTAGGGTTTTCTATATAGTATCATGTCATCTGCAAATAATGACAGTTTTACTTCTTTCTTTTTAATTTGAATGCCTTTTATTTCTTTTTCTTATCTGATTGCTGTTGCTAGGACTTTCCACACTATACTGAATAAAGGTGGTGAAAGTAGACATCTTTGTCATGTCCAGATCTTAAAGAAAACCCTTTTAGCTTTTCACCATTGTTAGCTGTGGGTTTGACATATATGGCCTTTATTATATTGAGCTATGTTCCCTCTATTCCCTCTTTGCTGAGAGCTTTTATCATAAATGGATGCTGGATTTTGTCAAATGTTTTTTCTGCATTTATTAATATGATCATATGATTTTTATCTTTCATTTTGTTTATGTGGTATATCATGTTAATTTATTTTCAAATATTGAACCAAACTTACATCCCAGGAATAAATCCCACTTGATCATGGTGTATGATCTTTTTAATGTGTTGCTGGATTCAATTTACAAATTTTTTGTTGAGGATTTTTGCATCTATGTTCATCAGGGATATTGGCCTATAATTTTTTTTTTTTGTAATGCCTTTGTCTGGTTTTGGAATGAGGGCAATGGTGGCCTCGTAAAATGAGCTTGGGAGCATTCTCTCTCTGTAATTTTTTGGAATAGCTTGAGGAGGATAGGTTTTAATTCTTCTTTGAATGTTTGGTAAAATTCACCCACGAAGCCATCTGGTCCAGGGCTTTTGTTTGCTGGGAGTTTTTTGATTACTGGTTCGATTTTGTTAGTAGTAATGGATTGGTTCAGATTTTCTCTTTCTTCTTGATCCAGTCTTAGAAGATTGTATGTTTCTAAAAATTTATCTGTTTCTTCCAGATTGTCCAATTTGTTGGCATATAATTGCTTGTAATATTTTCTCATAATCCTTTGCATTTCTCTGTTGTCAGTCACTTCTCTTCTTTCATTTTTTATTTTATTTATTTGAGCCTTCTCTCTTTTTTCTTGATGAACCTGGTTAAAGGTTTATCAATTTTGTTTATCATTTTCAAAGAACCAGCTTTTGGTTTCATTAATTTTTTTGGATTTTTTTTAGACTCTACTTCATTTATTTCTGCTCTGATCTTTATTATTTCCTTCCTTCTATTGACTTTAGCCTTTGTTTCCTGTTCTTTTTCTGGCTTTTTTAAGTGTAAGGTTAGATTGTTTCTTTGAGATTTTCTATTGTTTCTTGATGTAGGACTGTATTGCTAT